GGCAGCTCTAAGCATTCTGAGGCAGCTCTAAACATTCTGAGGCAGCTCTAAGCATTCTGAGGCAGCTCTAAACATCCTGAGGCAGCTCTAAACATTCTGAGGCAGCTCTAAGCATTCTGAGGCAGCTCTAAACATTCTGAGGCAGCTCTAAGCATTCTGAGGCAGCTCTAAACATTCTGAGGCAGCTCTAAACATTCTGAGGCAGCTATAAACTCAAAATCGCTGTCTTATTAGGTCATCCAGCATCGAATCAAAATGAAACATTAAGTAGAAAAAAGAAAACTTCATTTCTAACCAAAAGTAAAAGTTATTCATTCTCCCAAAAGGTTTTTTCTTGCAATAACGTTTGCTAGTTCGTTCTAATTCGTACCATTTTAATATTGGTTTAAAATACAAACTCTATTGTAAAATGAAATCCAGGAAAATCCTCTGAAATTCGAGTCGACGTGACGCCGAATTGTCTTGGTACGGAGGACACGGGATGGTATTTCATTCTTCAGTGTCCCGATGCGACTCGCAAAGGCTTTGACGCCTCGCGGGTGAGCAAAGTTTTGATATTCTTGCTAAAGTAATATACATTATGGAAAGTTAGTCCATTGCATTTTGAAGTCAGTCCATTGCATACAATTGCTTTTCATGATTCTTATTTCAAAAATTACGTATTTCCGAGGATCGATCCATTTTTGAAATTTCTTGAATCAAAAAACTGGGTTGATTGTTTTTATTGTTATTTTAAAACTGGGGTTTTTTTTTTCTGACAGCTAAACATCTTTTGTGTAATTGTTTAGGGAATTATTGGGTTGGTGAAAAAGTCCTTTCGGATTTTTTGGGAGAGTACCTTAAATTTGTCCAATTTTGATGTTTTCTAGCTCATCCTAAAGCTGAATTCAAGACGGATCGATTGGCAAAAATCGTTTTGAGATATCTCTTTTCTAAAAGTTTTTACAGCTATTTTAGTAAAGGGCGGCAGAGCCAAAAAATGGCTGTTTTCACGTTTCGTTAGTTTTCCGTGCAGAAACCTAGGCTAAAAACATGTGTTTCGTGATCAGCGTCAAAAATAACCCCTAGACACACATTTTCAGAATCTTAGCAAAAAATTTCTGAAAAATATTGTCACCGGTGGGAGTCGAACCAGCGACCCTCAGATCAATAGCCTTTCCGCCGCTTTTCGCTATTTTCCTTCGTTTTCCCCCTTTTTTTTGTTTTATCATTTTTTTTGATGTTGTTAGAAGGCTTTTCTCAGGGCTTTTTTAGAACGAGAAAAAAGAAGGAAAAACGAGAAATCGCGAAAAGCGGCGGAAAGGCTATTGATCTGAGGGTCGCTGGTTCGACTCCCACCGGTGATAATATTTTTCAGAAATTTTTTGCTAAGATTCTGGAAATGTGTGTCTAGGGGTTATTTTTGACGCTGATCACGAAACACATGTTTTTAGCCTAGGTTTCTGCACGGAAAACTAACGAAACGTGAAAACAGCCATTTTTTGGCTCTGCCGCCCTTTACTAAAATAGCTGTAAAAACTTTTAGAAAAGAGATATCTCAAAACGATTTTTGCCAATCGATCCGTCTTGAATTCAGCTTTAGGATGAGCTATAAAACATCAAAATTGGACAAATTTAAGGTACTCTCCCAAAAAATCCGAAAGGACTTTTCCACCAACCCAATAATTCATTTTTCGTTTTTAACGTCTTTCATCTCTCACAGTGTGCCTCTTTTAAAAAAGATTTCTCTCAAAAGCATATTGATGTTTCTTTTTTCAGCCTGTCGATATGAAAGCATTCGATTGCATGAAGAAACAAGGTTTTGATTTCTTTATTGGCGAAATCTCATGGCCAGACGGATCAATTAATGGGGATGGAATAACGGCTATCGGGAATGCGATACAATGTGAAAATCGTTTAATTCTATTTTGTAACAAGCCATTTCTTTAGCCGGATTTAGAGCCGATGCTTATATATTTCCATGCGCAAAGGGTGATTGTCCTGGGATTGACGCAAAAACACAGGTTATTTAACTAAACGAAAAGTGAATATCGAAGGAGTAGCGTCATTTTTGCGATATTTGAAATGTTTGGGGTTTTTTAAAGTCCTTAGGGTTGGCAGATTTCATCTCCGAAGATTCGGGTATTTTATTGGTCAATCACCCCTAGAGGGTCTTCCGATTGAGCCCTCTAATAGAAGTTTTGATTATTTTTGTTGCTTTGTGAAATAATTTGACAGAATCTACTTAATTTTGGAAGAGTTTTTACGAGAAATTTCCAGGTCACGAATTGTCTCTCGAGTCTAAGGTCGAGCGTTCGAGGTTTCACCGGGATGATATGGCTGGATATTGAAATGTGTGTGAAAACTCAAGAATGCACGAGCAATTAGTGTTTTTTGACTAATCATTTCCACCAATACTTGCCTAAGCTTGATCATAGCCTAGGTCATACGATTTTAGCCCAGGTTTCTGCAGGAATTTTTAGAAAATTTCTCCTTGAAAGGCCATAACTTCAGTTATAGGCTTCAATAAACAAACAATGTAAAAGTATTATAAAGTTCAAAAAGCTCTTTAAAAATATGATATTCCCATTTTTCTAGCTTCACGGGATTTTGAGAAATAGCTCTTGCGATGCGGGATTCCCGTTTCGGGAATTCCCGAATTGAAAGTCGGATTTAAAAACACATTTTCTCAATCACCAATAAAGCTAGAAAAATGGTAATATTATATTTTGAAAGAGCTTTTTGAACTTTATAATACTTATTACATTGTTTGTTTAGTAAAAGCCGAGAACTGAGGCTATGACCTTTCAAAGAGAAATTCCCGAAAAATTTCACAAGTCCGTTTTAGCTCAGAGCCGCCAGTCAATTCTCATGCTTTCTGGTCCAATAGCCAAACTGTGAATCGTGCTCTCATCACCGACTTTGCCAATGCACTTGCCGTTCGCGAAACACTTTCAATTTGCGGGAAACTCAAAATTTAGGGAGAAAATTGGGGCATTTACACGAGGGCCAACGATTGGGCGAAAATTGTCGGTGATTGGGATGAGTACACGAATTTGCCACTTTGGTGGATCAATCCATCGTCCACTATACACGTAATTCCTATTTCACAATTTGCTGATTAAAAGAAATCTAGAATTGGAGCCCATTTCATAACTTTATTTCGCCATCCATGGTCCAAGGGCAGGGGCAAACAATGTGCGGAGTCGGCGTTGATCTGGATTATATGCTATAAAGTTTTGCTTGTTTATCAGATTTAAATAAATGCCTTAAGAAAAAAAATAAAAAAACATAGAGACACAAAAAATGACAATCAAAGAAGATGACAACAGCTGCAAACGAAATCACGAATTTGGAGTTGAATGAAATATATTTTAGATTTTAAAACATAAATGCAAAGATAAGTGACACCTTTACAGTTGTGATGAATGGTAACAAAAAGTAGATTGACAACCAATTGTGCCAACATTCGATCAGATCTTCGAGGTGGTATAACTAAATAAATGGTCTTGAATGTTGGAAGCGCATTAACAAACCTATATGACATTGTATAAAGTGATTGATGAAACAATGATGAGACTTTGGCCGCCCTAAATGAAAATGAGTTCTTTTCAGGTAATAGCTTAACCTCCAATCCTTTATTCCCGTGCAAATATTGATGGCACTTGCGCCAAAGACAATCACCATTCCCATGAAAACGTAGTAGAGCAAATTGATATCAAGAGTTGTTATCTAAACAAAATATTGCTGACCATAAAAAGTTCAAACTTTACCTCAAATCCCAGCAACGAGATAAAGTAACGAGCAATCTCCGACACAACAATCGTCGTTGGGCTGCCTGAATTAAAAGTAAAAGATCATTTCGAATGAATCAAATCACCTTGTACATAGTAGACCATCAAAACCGACAATGATGAGAGCGTTGGGAAAAGCAACTTGTGACGCCATCTAAAAGAAATCAATTAATCATTAAATCCCACTGAAAATGGCCGTTAACATTTACAGGCTTGTCGTTAATCGATTTACCTATCTGACAACCTAATTAGCATTTAACACCACAAATATAAAATGCTTCTCCATAAAAATCATTTCATTAATCCGAAGAATTGGCCAAGGTCGCCAATCAAAAATAGACGAACGCGTGGACGAGATGATCGCCGAGAGGAAGGCCAAGAATTTGTCTCGAACAGTATTTGCAACGTAAACTTGATACTTAAATACTTTTTCGGACGTGTTCATAAATATCCAGCAATATTCATCAAGTATCCCAATGTGTACTTCTTTAACGCAATGGATTTATCTAGTGAATGTAACTGAAATGAGGAAGGTATTTATGTGCAAAATGGAAGGCACCGTAACAAATTTGTACAGTTATAACAAATTTGGATGTATGTGCAAAGCGAAAAAAACAGTTACAAGTTATCAAAGGAGAACACAAATTCCATAAGCACGATTGGCATCATACTCTTTGGCGATCCAGTAGTCATCAAGATCGGCAACGCCGTGTTTCGACTTGGGCACAATTTCACGACGAGCTGGATCAATCCCGATCAACTTGTAGGTTCTTCCATCGTAGTGATAAGTCGATGCGTAAGCAAGAGTAGTCTTTGAACCAGGAGAGCAGTAGATGCCGTAAGCATAAGCAAAGCGTACCCTTTTTTGCCTAAAAGAAATACAAGTTAGATAAACTCCAATATGAAAAACCAAATCAAGTCCACCACTTCGAACAATTCCTACAGCACGTGGATCTGTTGTCCCACGGTAAGCGACTAGCCATTCATTTGGGGCAAAATTCTGGCCACTTAGGCAATTAAAATCAATATACATTTTAGATATTTCAGTGGATTTTCTTTCAGCTTAGCCACTACAATTAGCCCCTTTTGTATAGTAATATATACTTTATCCATCAAATAAAGTGATCCAATGAATGACACAGTAGAATAATTGAAAGTTAAGCTTGTAAAATATCAACGTATGCAAAAATTGTGCAATGTCACAGATCAAAAAGGAGTTTCTACCTAACACGGAAAGACACAGATTCCATATGGACGAATGGCATCATTTTTCTTGATAATCCAGTAATCATCAAGGCCAGCAATACCGTGTTGAGACTTGGGCACAATTTCACGATGAGATGGATCGACACGAGCCTGAAACAAAATGAATCTTTCCAACAAATCAGTTACTTATTGACTATTAAAGTCCGTAACAAATCCCACCTGGACGATCAACTTGTAGCTTTTTCCATCGTGCTCGTAAGGAGATGCATAATAGAGCGCAGTCTTTGGATCTGGTGTGCAGTAGATACCATAACCAAAAGCAAAGTGCATTCCTTTCCCCCTAGAAGAATATTTTGTAAAAAAGGATCCACGATTACAGACTATTTATTCAAAAGCCAAAATAACAAACCAAATCAAGTCCACCGCTAGCAACAATTGATGCAGCACGCGGATCCGTTGTTCCATGATAAGCAACTGGCCATTCGCCATGAAGAGAGCCGCACTCAATTGGGCTAAACCGGTAGTTAACAAAATAAAACAGGAAAAATTACCGCTCAACGTATCCGAGCCAGGCATTGTCCCCGTATTTGTCAAGAACATCGAGAGCATAACGCATTGACCCCAGTGGGCGAATGTAATCAGCTCCACCACGAGCGAATAGTTGCCGATCGATCAAAATCTTCGTGAAATCGCAATTGAACTTTTCGGCAAAGCATCCCGGGTGCATTTTGTAAGCGCTGCATCTTCCTCCTCGGCGTCTCGGCATCAAACGACGAGCAGCATCACGAAAGCGAGCTTTCTTATCTTAAGGTAAACTTTGCCAGAAAATTGACTGTACAAACAAACTGGGTATTTAATAGCTGCTATTAAATACCCAGTTTGTTTGTACAGTCAATAACTCGGACGTTTTAAACTTCGAATTGTTTTTATCACAAAAAAATGCTTGTGCACTTGAAAAATTGACCTTACCATTTTCAACAGTCTTCTGAATCGTATTCACATTGAAAAAGAGGTCGCGTGGTTCAATCATCCTTTCAGAATCCAAATCTGAATCCGAATCCGAATCCGAATCGGAATCGAGATCTGAATCGAAAGCCTGATTGTTGAGACGACGCATGTGATAGTTAATACCAGCAAGAAGTGCTTTAGCTAAACAAAGAAATTTAGTCAATAGCAAAACATGAAATAAATCCACCATTGTTCAGAAGGGACGCCATATTGAAACCAGTCACCGATTTCGAGAAGGTAGGTCACTGAAAGAAAATTCGTTGAAATTTCTGCTCGATAGCATTCAAAGCATAAAAAAACAAGTCCGCTAACAATTCAAAGGGTATATTAAGAATATAATTTTACAACTACTTATCTCACACCAACTAAAAACTTTCTCAAACACTTATTTGGATTGCCACCTCCGTAAATTCCAATTACTTAAAGATTAATCGAAAAATCATTAAACCATGAAACAACTGATATTGGATACGCTCCTCGATTTCGAGAAGTGGAGCTAACGAACAAGAAACAAATTATGCGAGCTGTAGTAGGACACAAATCAAGAAACGAATGTTAAAAAATACGATTCAAACGTCATCTAGGAGCTATTCATAACGTGCCAGCGTTGACATCGTAGTGTTGCTAAGCAATCCGCGCGAATTTCTCTAGAATGACACAAGGGGCAAGTCAACTTCCACAACCGGCGGTGGTCTTGGCTATTACAAGGTACCCCTCAATTTATAGGCTTATAACTGTCCAAAGTGCGCTAGAACTATCTTAAAAAGCCAAGATTAACCCACTTAGAAGAAAGTTATGGCGAGTTGCGCCAAAAAATTTGGCGCAAAGTAGCCACCCCGTGAAATTGTCTATGACAAGCTAAAAACGCTAGTGCAACACATAAATTTGAAAAAATTGCTGCTTTCGGAATTTGGAGAATGAAATGACAAACGATTCCCCTTCCGGCGAAAATTTCCTGTACAACTCAAAATATTCAATTGAACAATTGCTTCCCGATAAAAATTTGACCGGATTTATACTTGCAAATTCAACTGAATATTCGAAAAAGCTGTCTATTTAAAAAAGCCACGTTTTGGAAAACTTTCAAATTTCTTTTTTTGTGGATTTCACTGTGCAATGTGTCGGTTTCTAACTGTTAAAACTTTTTCAAATCTTTTTTCTTTGAAATGTCGTCTTGGGTCGTCAAAGTCGAACAAAAAAAACTAGAAAAATTGAAGGTGGACCCGAAGTTATTGACAGACGCAATTATCCAAAAAGGACTAGCAGAATTCAAGAGCATATGAAAAACTTAGCTGGTGATTCACGGTGAAAGTGTTAGAATTTTCCGGCCATTCAGCGGTCTATTATTAAATGCAATGAGTTGCTTTGGCAACTCATTGCATTTAATAAAAGGATTTTAATTAGTATAAATGAGTGAGAATATTGATTTTTAAAATTAAATTTAAAAAGAAAGACAATCAGGTAATAAAACCTTCATGTCACAAAAGACGTCCGGATCTTTAGATCTAAAGATCCGGACGTCTTCTGTGACAAAAAAAAATCATATTTTAAGAATTTTTTTCAAGAAGAAAGTTTAACCATAAAATAACTCACCACTATCATTGCCATCATTGCCATCATTTGCCATCATTACCATCATTTGCCATCATTGCCATCATTGCCATCATTGCCATCATTGCCATCATTTGCCATCATTGCCATCATTTGCCATCATTGCTATCATTTGCCATCATTGCCATCATTTGCCATCATTGCCATCATTGCCCTCATTGCCATCATTGCCATCATTTGCCATCATTGCCATCATTGCCATCATTGCCATCATTGCCCTCATTGCCATCATTGCCATCATTTGCCATCAACATTGCCGATACCATTTATGGGGCTGTAGTCCCCCAGCCGGATGTCATATTTGAAACGATCCTCAATGTTGGAAAGGCGAGTTAACTAAAGAAAGTAAATTATAAGTTTTCAATCAGAAAGCATGAAATAAAAGATTTCAGGCTTAAAAATAAAAAAGCCTGTCAAAAGTAGTTTCAGAGTAAACTCGTAATGCTTCTTTTGCCTTGTCTTCTCAACATTGCCGATGCCATTTATGGTGCTTTCATCAAATTTCCTCCTGGATACTATGTAATCTTTGAAAATAGTCCAGTGGGTAAATATTTTGTGTGATCATTGTGAAAACACTAAAAATCTATCTACATTTTTGAACTTCTCGAGCAGAATGGCTTGATTTTAAATTAAAACTTTTGGTCCTAGTGGTGTAGCGATCATTTATATTTTTGAACACAAAGATTGGATCTTCTTGAACATAGATCTCCTTGAAATTGTGAAATTTTTCTCTTCTGAGCTTAAATTCCTGTTTAAAAAGACGCTCTGACAATCTTCCACTTCAGATAGAATCACTTCTTCGGCACCAAAATTCATTTTTGCGACTCCAAAAATCACTTTTCTCGAAACCAAATGACGGAGCTGCTGATAAATCGCGTATTTAATCTCTGCATTGTTCAAGGAAACACAAAGATAAGTAAATTGGCTCATTTTTTCATGAAGACGTTTATTTCTTTAACATTTTTATTCGTTCTTTCATCAACATGTCCATCTGGATGGATTCAATATCCAAATGAGGACATTTGCGTTTACGTACTTGACATACGTAGGTTTTATTTTTGGTGTTATCAATTTTTTTTCGTTAAAACTTTGACTAGTTCTTGACACCAGGATTTCATCGTTTTGCTCTTTTTTTAAGCCTGCCTTTAAACATAAAAATAAAACTTTTTTCCCCTACTACTAGGTCTTTTTCAAAAATGCCTAATCTTTCCCAACTACAAGCATTTTTCGTCTACCCGCTGACTCTTTTCCGTGGCCTGGGCTTTTCCCAGTCAATTCAATTATTAGGCTGATGACCTGAACTGCAATTGCATAGATATGTATCTTTATTTACAATGTAGATATTTATCTTTATTTACAGTAGTACGATAAGACGAATAGATTACAAATGAGTGAAAGGGGAACGGGGACTCCAAGTGAGAGCCCCACTTGTCCTCCTAGGCAATCCCAAGGACAGCCCCTTCTCGGCGATGAAAGGGAGAAGCACAGGGGAGAACACATAAGAATAGACAAGCCATTCAAGGATAACAATAGTAACCAATTTGGCTTCATTAAAGCTTTCCTTTAACTTTTAAAATATAGATTCTTTTTGAGTTTGATCTGATATCGAAAGTTTTACCTATAAAAAGTTTGCCTAAAGATCAGCACTCAAAAAGTGATTTGTAACACTTTAAGTAGTGAAATTTATGAAATTATACCGACAGTTGATTCCGATTTTTAGGCAATAGTTTCTTAAAGCTTATTCAATTTTGTGTAAAATTTTAGAGGAATCTTTGGTTTGGTTTTTTAAGAAATTAAAGCTTCAAAAAAAAACGAAAAGAGACGAAACTAAAAATGGTTAATGGGGTCCATACCCACTCAAACGTTTGCTGAATAAACTTAAATCTATTCTTATCGGCTTACCGTACTCTCTCTAATAGTAGTGCTCACTATTATTTTTTCAATCCCCTCCTGGACCGCAATACTATTAGAGAGAATACGGTATTCAAGCTCTTGAGTCTTTTCGTTTTTTCGAAGCTTTAATTTCTATTAATTTTTTAATAGCACTCTCTAATAGTATTGAAAGAAGGATTGAAGGGAGGGGATTGAAAGGAGGGGATTGAAAGTCCAGGAGGGGATTGAAAGAATAGTAGTGCGCACTACTATTAGAGAGAGATACGGTATTTGATTTTAGCTTTAGTTTAATGATTGATTTTAGCTCAAAAGCTTTTAGCTCTTTGATTTTAGCTCAAAATTACACCCAACACGAAAAGCAATGCGAAGAACTTGGTGGAAATGTGGTGAAGATCACAAATATTTATGAGAATAATTTCATTGGCACGCTGCTTCAATGTAAGTTGAAATATTCATTATTAAACTAAAGCAGAAATCGAAAATCGATCATGATTTCCTTTAAAGAATGTCTTTCAAAGAGTGTCTTTCAAATTTTAAGTCAATTTTCGAAAGATTTTAGCACTTCATCATGAAATTCCATATATTGGAATGAGAAAATTGGACAATGGAACATGGATTTATTTTTGTAAAAATTGTTTAAAAATCTTCTTCCAGTGAAACTTCTTGGTGTGCAATGCCTTGAGTATCTTGTTGCAATAATTATGACGCACCTTGTAAAGCAATGAAGCATTACTTTATAGCATAACTAAAAAACTAGAAAACCTCTCGCAAAACTATAATGATTTTCAGAAAATCGAAAAAATTTGCAAAAATTTTTGTGTAGAACTTTCTCTCTAATCTTTATCAGCAAACCAAACGGCAATACTTTTTAGCCACTCTGTAAATGCATAACAAAATCATTAGGTATTTCACACAAATATGCGACTCATTTTCTGTACGGGTTTCTTCAATTTCTATCTCTACGGAATCGCTCGTTTTGTGATGATCTCATATGAGAAGGAATCCACATTCAAGTGTATTATTTATCAAGAAAGTGAGTATCTTTTGTCAAAGCTACGGCTGTCAAAGCTAACGATCGCCTCGTCAAAGCTACGGCCTCGCCAATGATCGTCTCGTCAAAGCTACGGCCTTGAAACACACGGTATCCCGTCAGATCTCCCAAGTTAAGCTCGGTTAGTCTGGTTGAGCTCGGTTAGTCTCTGGTTCGAATCCAGCAGATGAGTCGGATATCTTCCCTGAACCGAGCTGCAGGTAACCGCATCCATATGGTGAACTGATTCCCAAAACCGATCCCCTAGGCCCCTTCCTAGATCCCCTTCCAATTTGGATTGGGAGTCAAATGGGTAGACTTGTCTAAAGCGCAAGCTTATATAAAGCGGGTAGCCTTCTCCTACATCGTCTCCTACATCGTCCCATCCTCACAAACGTTAGAATATTCTCTAGATCTTGATGTATAAATTGTGTGTGCAAAATAAATCATTATCATCGTAACCATTATCATCCCCATAAAACTATTACCTATTTTCAACACTTTACTTCAATACTTTACTTCGAAACTCAAAATTAGCATTTCTATCGAAATTCAAACTTTACAAAAAAGCTCCATTTTTCAGCTAAAACCCAGGCTGAAATTACAATATTTTGAAGCTGAAATTCTGAGGAGCATTTCTACACCTAAATCATCCTGAAGTTAAGCAACGTTGGGCTCGGTTAGTCTCTGGTTCGAATCCAGCAGATGAGTCGGATATCTTCCCTGAACCGAGTGCTGTAGGTAACCCATATGGTGAACTGGTTCCCAAGACCGGTCCCCTAGGGGATTGAGATCCAAACTTGTCGACAGGGACAGCAGATGAGTTCGGGAAAAGTCAGGGATGAGTCAGGGATATCTTCCCTGAACTGAGTGCTATAGGTAACCACACCCATATGTTTTACCGCATACCGCAACTGGTTCCCAAGGCCGATCCCCCTAGCCCCCCCCCCCCTAGTTTTTCCGATCTGCCTCCTTAAAACAAAAAAAGTCACAAATTTTCAGCTATTGAAACGTGTCCAGTTCCTTTCTTAATAGCATCGTTTATTCGCATCTACATAATTACACTTGTCGTCGGTAAGATTTGAGTTGGAATCTTAGTTGGAATCTGAATTGGAATCAGAATTCGAACTCTTAACTCTTTCAGCCGGCCTAGTTGGTGTAATGATTGAAAGAACGATTGCCACTCTCTATTTTGCCACGTATGAGCATCACTTCTATCGACCGTTTTTTATCGGACTAATGATTTTTGGTATCGCTGTGACTCTAGGGTTTACATATAGTTTCTTTTTCAGTAAGTCTTTTAAACTAGAAATTTCAACAACCTTTACCAGGTGATCATTTCAGATTTACCCTTCTTTGAGAAGAGCTTCGCAAATTTAGTAGATATTGCTGTTTCTCTAGTATCCGGATTTGTAAGTGAACATTAAAAAAATGAGTTTTTTTATGCATTCAGGTTGGTGTTCTAATGACCCGAGAAAATGAGAAACGAAAGCGGCGACTTTATAAGACCGGATGGACACTCAGCAAACGATATCAACTGACCGTCAACTCAAAAGCAATGCCTGTAAGAAGACAATAAGAAAATCATATTAGATAAGGATTTGAAGGTAAATTCAATAGGATCAGTTTCTTTCCTGACTGGATCATCTATTGGGTTGGGGAGAAAGTTTCCACCGATTTTTGGACGGTCTTAAACTTACCGACGTCTCACCGACGGTCTTAAACTTATCCATTTTGATCGTCTAGAAGCTCATTCGAAAGCTAATTATCTAGCGGATTGAATGGAAAAGACCGTTTGTTGATTCATCAACTTTTAAAGTTTTTGCAGCCGTTTTACTGACAAGGGAACCACATCTACTTGCCGATTGCCGATCTGATGCCGATTGCCCTCAAAATTGGTGGATTGGTAGAATCAACTCTGGGGAACAACATATCAAAAGTCCAGCTCCAAGATTACGGTAGTTATAGTGTTTTTGGTAAGATATAGGATACAATTCTCTCTTCGCAACGATATTGGGCCTAGTTAGCACAGTGGATTCACTGTCAGGTGGTCTGATGGTAGTGCGTTCAGTTGCAAATCGGATGCTCTCGGGTTCGAGTCCGTCTTTGGACCTTTGGAACAATTTTGGAATTATAATATTGTTTTATCTACTTGATGCATATTCCTATCTACACTTAGTCCAAAAATATTGCGTAAAAATATCTTAAACTTAATCTAAACGCATGATTTAAGTCTAAATCGTGTGCCCAAAACGAATGGGATGTATAATAGGATAGCGGTTTGTATAATAACATTATAACCATTGTTTCCTGTTTAAAATTTTTTAATTTTTAATTTTTATTGTTTTGATTGCAGCATTTAAACAAAATCGAACAAAAACAATTCAAAGGAGGAGTCGAACCCGAGAGCATCTGCTTTGTAACCGAAAGCACTACCACTAGACCACCTGAATAGTGAATCCACTGTGCTAACTAGGCCCAATATCGTTGCGGAGAGAGAATGGTCTCCTATATCTTACCAAAAACACTATAACTACCGTAATCTTGGAGCTTTGGAGCTGAACTTTTGATATGTTGTTCCCCAGAGTTGATTCTATCTATCCACCAATTTTGAGGGCAATCGGCGTCCATAAGTAGATGTGGTTCCCTTGTGAAGTTAACTCTAAATTTCAAAAAATCGACTTTATTTGTTTTTTTTTGTAGGAAACCTATGCTGAAACCATGTTTTTCGGAATCAGCTTTAAAAATTATCCTAGAATGCAATAGAATTGTTTTTTAGCAAAAATTTTTTTGGAAAAAAAATTACTTGACCCGGAATCGAACCCTCGACCCTCGGATTACCATACAATCTTTGTTTTTCCGTAGTTTTTCGCACCGATCTGCCTCCTTAAAACAAAAAAAGTCACAAATTTTCACAAACAGAGGGAGTGGGACAAATGCGACCTTTTTTTGAGCACCCGGACATTTGCGCACCTTTTTTTCCGCACCTTGCCCATTAGCGCACCTTTTTTCGCGTTTTAAAAAAGGTCTAAAAAGCTAATATTAACCAATTTCTATTCCAAAAGTTGTTTTTCTAGGTAATTTTAGGGCGTAGAATCGAAATTTTGGCATATCAGAGCTTGTGGAAACAAACGGACCGAGTTATACAAAGAGAAGAATCGACAATTTTCTGTAATTTGATCTAGCCGTTTTGTCTTTCAAATTGGCTCCACAAGCTCTGATATGCCAAAATTTCGATTCTACGCCCTAAAACTACCTAGAAAAACAACTTTTGGAATAGAAATTGGTTAATATTAGCTTTTTAGACCTTTTTTAAAACGCGAAAAAAGGTGCGCTAATGGGCAAGGTGCGGAAAAAAAGGTGCGCGAACGTCCGGGTGCGCAAAAAAAAAAGGTCGCATTTGTCCCACTCCCCAAACAAAAGAGAAAGTAACCCTTAAACAACAACAACAGATCATTCTCATCTACATTCTGCACACAACTTTCAACAATATTCTATATTCAATTCTTTTTTATTGGCATCAGCGGACAAACTCGTGGAAGATTCGAAATATTCTGGGGATAACGATAAATTTGCTTTTAGCTTTGTAGTTTCTTTTTAATTTACTTCAATTTACAAAACTTATCAACTTTCAGGCACTATTTATTCTTTACTTTCATGATGTTTTGTTGTAATCGACAAATCTTTAAGCTTTCAAAGGGGATTTTACGAGAGAAATTGGTAAAAACTAGGTAAGTTGAGATGTTTCTTCTAATTTCTAATTTTCTAATCCAAGAAAACCCATTTACTGCTAACATTTCGTTTAGATTGCGCATACTTGGTCGCGGAGGTATTGTGGGACAAACGAAACCACTCAATTACAGCCATATTGTTACGAATGCTCACGGAAAGGTAAACTAATTTGAAAGATTGCTCGTAAGATCGTAATTTGATTGCAGAAAAACAAGAAGTCAAAGAAAACGTTCTAGATAAAACTGAAAAGCGTTTTTCTTAGGAGATGTACACTGGCGCAAACCAAGACGACTATTTCGGACAACTGAAAACACAATGGGGATAGATGACAAGACAAATGAAGAACTGATGAAAAGTTTTACACCTATTTGACCGATGCAAGTGAACAAACTTTGTTTCAATAATTTGGAATACAATATATAGATCTCAAAGTTTCGAAGTCTCAAAGTTAACTTTGCGAAGCTAACGATTTCTAGCTCTTTTCGCTAAATTTAGCAGTTGATGGAACCGGGCCCTGGTCTAGCTCTGGACAACCCAAGCCAGCCAGGTCTAGCTCTGGACAAACCAAGCCAGCCAGGTCTAGCTCTGGACAATCCAAGCCAGCCAAGTCTAGCTCTAGACAACCCAAGCCAGCCAGGTCTAGCTCTGGACAATCCAAGCCAGCCAGGTCTAGCTCTGGACAATCCAAGCCAGCCAAGTCTAGCTCTAGACAACCCAAGCCAGCCAGGTCTAGCTCTGGACAATCCAAGCCAGCCAGGTTTAGCTCTGGACAAACCAAGCCAGCCAGGTCTAGCTCTGGACAATCCAAGCCAGCCAGGTCTAGCTCTAGACAATCCAAACCAGCCAGGTCTAGCTCTGGACAATCCAAGCCAGCCAGGTCTAGCTCTGGACAATCCAAGCCAGCCAAGTCTAGCTCTAGACAACCCAAGCCAGCCAGGTCTAGCTCTGGACAATCCAAGCCAGCTAAGTCTAGCTCTGAACAACCCAAGCCAGCTAGGTCTAGCTCTGGACAATCCAAGCCAGCTAGAAGTTAGCTCTAATCCTGGTTGTTAGCTTTTGGAACAACTTTACCATATTTAGTCCTTGTTGTATTGAGATCTCAAGTTGTTTTGACAAATCAACTCCAATATACAATTTTAGTTACCACCAACCTTCTCCGAGCACGGCTCTAACTTTATCAAACGAAAAGTATAAGACGCTTACAAATGTACAAAAAAGAATCGTCACCTTTCCTCTAAATTTCTATTTGCACACATTTTATTACACATCAACATTTACAAAAATGAGCTTTCAACGATAGATTCGTAATTTACAAATGAAAAGTGAAGAACTAGATATTCATGTGTAAAAATTTCCCATTTAAGTTTTATTAGTCGATGATTGTCGTCTCGGCGTTCTTCTTCAGCCAATCATGCACAGAAAGACGAGTGGGCTCTTCAAGCTGAAAAGTTAAAGTAAACCGGAGACATTTTAAAAAATCAGCTTTTAATCAGCTTATCATCAGCTTGTAAACATTCATAATTGGATTTATCTCAAAACAATTGCTCAAATGACATTAAAATAATGTCATTTGAGCAATTGTTGCCAGCAATTGTCAGCAATTGTCAGCAACCCATAAAGCAATACCTGTTTTCCAAAATTCTCCAAATGATAGCATTCAATGTCATAGGGTTTCCCATCAAGCACGTAGAACTTCTTTTCTAAACAAAAAAAAACTTTCTTTGTCAATAAAATAGTGAACTAATAGAATTTTGACTAGCTGTAGTTAATTCCAGTGTATCGGCAGACAAGCCAATCCAAAACCCTACCAGGAAATGGACGAAAGCAGCGCCGACACGTGAAACATGAATCGTGCCACATCTTGCCAAGCGCTTTGTACACGAAACGATCCAACGAAAGAGTGCATCCTAAAGTCAAGAAAGTTTAGCATTCTTTGTACAACGAACCGGCACATTGTGGATTCATTTCTTTTCCGTAACACTCACAACAGATCGGCTTCTTTGAGTTGGCAGGGTATCTGGAAAAGAACAATTACAAAAACGGCAGGGTATCTGGAAAAGAACAATTACAAAAACGGCAGGGTATCTGGAAAAGAACAATTACTTGTTTTATCGCTTTTTAAAAGCTAACTAAGTGAAGCTGGCTAGATTTTTTGACTAATTTAAACCCCGACTAGCCAATATCAATTCAAATTTCATTAGAAAAGCTTACTACGTCTATATTTTGTACTGTCGCTAAACCTAAACTATGTCTTAAGCTATGCATTTTGCAAAGACACGTATAATTTGCACAATTTGACAGTCCTTCCAGGTAAAGATATAATCTTGTTGGTACTAATAAAGTTTGGGGAAGGAGCCAGAACCTATTTTACGCGTGTTTTTTTGTTTTGTTTTGTTTTGTTTTGCATCTTCTGGGTTAATCAAATACGCAATATATTAGTGATATTTTTAGAGTGTTTTTAGCGTTGCGGCACTGCAACAGTTATATCTCAGCTAGCTCAACAAAACATTAACAAGGATTGTTAGTTATATCTCAGCTAGCTCAATAAAACATTAACAAGGATTGTTCAAAACTTTCTAAAAATATCACCAATAGATCCAGCATATTTGATTACCCCCGGAAGAAATGAAATAACGTTGGTAAAACGGTCGAAAAATACGATCTGACCAAAGCAAATCATAGCGCCCCGCGCGAACCTTATTAGTATCATCTTGTTTCACATTTAGTTATGATTATTCGATTAGAAAGAACGATCTGACCAAAGCAAATCATAGCAAACTTCTAGGTTGTTTCTCAATCAACAACAATTTTAACTCACTCAGTGAAATCGAGCTTCACATTCACCTCGCTTTTTCCATTCTCATCGCCCTTTCCATTTTGCGATAAAAGTCGGAGCTCGCATTTCGTGCATTTCAAGCAATCGTCGTGCCACCAATCATCCCAGACTTGCACCACTTGACGCTAAAAAGAAAATTGAAGAAAGGATATCTGGATTTAAGCGCTAGAAAAAGCTAACTGTGCTAACTTGACTCGTCAATCATTAAACTTGTAAACTTTTAATGCAAAAAGGTTCAAAAAAACTTTCAAAGTCAAGCACAAATCCAAGAACTATCTTTTTCTAATCCAGTTGTTGACGATAAACAACCAAAAGCTAACCTCAATAATGTAATATCTTGTAATTGCTTTGTCGCATTGAGCGCAGAAAATCTCCCAGAAGAATTCGGGGGCACGTCGGTCGAAATTCAATGCATCCTGAAAAGAAAAAAGTTCAAGAAAATGCTGACAAAAAGAAATTCTGACAATTTTAGCTTGCTAAATAGTTCTAAAATTGAATAAATTCACCCTTTTGGTCAGAATATTACGCATAAAACAACCATTTAGTCAATGTTTCTATTAAAATTAACCGCAACTCGCAAAATTAACCGCAAAAGTCAATGTTTCTATTTAAATTAACAACAACAACCAACAACAACTCACCCAATTTCCTCGATAAAGCTACAACAAGCTACAACAACAACCAACAACAACAACCAACAACAACAACCAACAATAACCAACAACAACTCACCCAATTTCCTCGATAAAGCTTGCCACGCTCCTGGCGATTCGGTTGTGCCATTCTAAACAAAGCAATGTCAAAAATTTTAACAAGAATTTGAATTTTGTGAGCAGAAGTTCTAAAATTTAGAAATAAGATGCTGGAATTGATAAAATCACCTGAAAAACGAAGCCGGAGAAGCCGGAGAATGTGAAATGAAAGAATGATTTCATTTTGCACCCGTCAATATGCAAATTTTCCTCCCAGTTAATTGTAAATTGATGGAAATTTAGCATTTTGAGAAGTTTCCATGTCAATCACAATCATTCTTTGTTTTTTTGACTCACTCGGTGAACATCAATTCTCTTCTATTGTTTTTTCTCGAAAATTTCAAAGTCTCAATTTCACGCATATTCACTTTCGAATCATAGAAACAGATACTTCAATCGTTACAATGTTAGAAAGGTCAAAAATATTCCGAAATGTTTAAAATATTGAAAATCAGTTCCATATTGCGTTTTTTTAGTTCCTACAAACTTTGGACCTTCGAAGCATCATTTTTCATAAACGGAATTGAACCCCAGATCTTTCTGAACATAAACGAGGCTTGCCAACCACGTGACGATTATGCAATCATGATTCTAATCTTAACTTAATCTAATCTTTTGTACTTTCGCTAAACCTAAACTATGTCTTAAGCTATGCATTTTGCAAAGACACGTATAATTTGCACAATTTGACAGTTCTTCCAGGTAAAGATATAATCTTGTTGGTACTAATAAAGTTTGGGGAAGGAGCCAGAACCTATTTTACGCGTGTTTTTTTGTTTTGTTTTGCATCTTCTGGGTTAATCAAATTCGCTTAATATATTAGTGATATTTTTAGAGTGTTTTTAGCGTTGCGGCACTGCAACAGTTATATCTCAGCTAGCTCAACAAAACATTAACAAGGATTGTTAGTTATATCTCAGCTAGCTCAATAAAACATTAACGAGGGTATCAAAAAATAGCTGAAATTCAGGGCTATTTTTTGATACCAAAGACACATTTTTTGAAAGTAGGGGCGCTTTGAAAAAAGTGAAAAAAGGTGCGGAGTGTTGCGTAGTCTAGCTTTGAACGAGTGTTTCTCGACACTGGTTTATGCTATAATGCACGTTTAGGTATCAAAAAATAGCTCTGAATTTCAGCTATTTTTTGATACCAAAGACACATTTTTTGAAAGTACGGGCGCTTTGAAAAAGATGAAATACTAAGGAACTTTCGCGACTACGCGACTGTACGAGGGGGTTGGGGTACTATTACAGTATTTACGGTATGTATTGTAACCGTACATAGATTATCACGGAATTTATTGGTGAACATCGAGAACCGAACTAACAATTGACTGGCTTTTGGCAAGAAGATTGCCTAACCAGAAAATTGAAGATGAAAGTCAGAATTTCGAAAATTTTATTTTATAAGTTTACGTTATCTTTAGGTTTTTACAAGTTTTATCTTAAAGAAACTTTGATTTTGTTTTGTTTTTTAGATCTTTTTGCTAGTTAATTTTTATTAGACAGTGGGATTAGCTGATTGAGAAAGAGGATAGAAATAGAAAACGAAAACAGTTGTTTAAATTGTTATATACGATTCTTCTCTAATCGTCCAATCGGACGCATAGTTGGCATCGTAGTGGTTGTGGTGGTTGTGCTATAATCTGGCACGGGATCGGTCAGTGCAATTTTGCAGACAAAGTTGTAATAGTTGAGAGAGCACGAAGCGTAAGTCCACTTCTTGTAGTTGCCCGGCGGAAAATACGTTGTGTTCGTCGCCCAGAGCTAAAGGGGCTTTCATTTTACTGTAATTTGTTCTTTAGATAATAAAACATTGTCGTAGAACTTTATCGACAACAATTTGAATTCAAATGCCACATTTTCTCTAATAGAATCTCAAAGTGGTAAAAAGCCTATCTAGGATTTTGACTAGTGGTTCTATTGGAAAGGTTTCAAAAGATCAATGCGATAAGCTGATGGCTGATGGCTCCTAGAATCCCATTCGCTTTTCACTCTTTTAGAAGAAATGATGGGAAGGCTTTATAGGGAGATATCCGGATAGTAGCAATTCAAATTGTTCTTTAATTTTTTGTTTCTAATGTCCTGGAAGCTTATAGGAAATGGTTTCTCGCGCATCTTTTCTTACTTGAAGGCACGGTATATAATTATAATCGGCATCGGTGAGAATGTTATTGTAGTCGAACGGAGTCCCATCAGTCCATGTCCAGGTATTGTCGACCTTGAATTGAGTTTAGTCAACTCTTAAAAGTGTTTGATTTACTCGTCGTGCTCCAAGCAAAGTTTGGTAGCTAATGACCGATACCGTAAGGGAAAGATCGCTGGCGAGAGCTGAAATTAGATGTTATGCATTACATTAGCAAAGCTTGAGACTTGAGAGTCTCAAGTCTGTTTCAAGCTCTGTCTCAAGTTGAGACAGAGCAATCAGATCATTGCTGGTGTGCAGTGATCTGATTGCTAGTGATCTGTGCAGTCGCCCGATAAGAGGATGGTGGCGGATTTTATTCCCGGCTTCACCGATTTTCTTTGATTCCTGGCCATTCCTGGCTTGCTATGAGAAAGCCGAGGGATCATTTCAATGCCAGCTTTCAATGTTAGCCTCTAGTTCAAAATCAGTGCTCAGAAATCTGGGACTTCATTGTGACACCCATTATCGCCATTCCACCCACCAACAATCAGCTCATTCTCCTCTGCCGAGTGTATCGATGCTAGCTGTGCGCTGGCGTTCTGGCAGACCTCGTTTGCACTGTTGAAGTCCAGAATACTGCTATTTGGGGTCACCACCTGGAAGTTAATTGAATAGCCGGACCTGAAAATATAATTCCTCTAGATGTGCACATGACGACTAAAATATGATGACCCAAATGTAGTGTGACATCCAGATTTCGGTTTGAATCGATTTAATTTTGGGGGAATCTAGATAATTTGCTAGATCGAAGTCAACAACGGTCTCTCGACTGATCACCTGATTCCAGTAAAGATATTCAGTTAATTTTTAAACAAATTATCTTATCTGGATGGCACATAACATTTTGGGCAGTTCCGTTTTTAGTTTTGGCTCAGCTAAATGCCTTGTAGCAGCTGTTGAAGCGTCTATCGTAGTACCAGCCCAGCGAGCACTCGGCCGGCTTCGTCGCTGGATTCGTCGGCGACTGGGCAGTCATAGCTTTGCAGACGGCGTTCAAGAATTTGGTGTTACAGTCGGCGTCGCTCCATTGTCCGTACTCTGGATTCGATGATTTACTGGACGAGACCTAAGACTCATGTAAGTGCATATTCGACAGCATTCACTTGAACACATTGCCTTCCCGTGTTCCCATCGGCGGCAAAGTTTGTATAGTCGAAGGCTGTGCCATCAGACCATTGCCAACCGTTTTCCACCTTTAATTGAGAAATTTCGGATGCTAGAAGTTATGGTTCCAATATGGTTCCTGTGAATCTATGTGAATATCAGCTCGTGTGAATAGACGAATAGGAGTTCATTGTATTAACTAGTCTTCTAAAATAACCCTCTTCTACAATAAGTCTTCTATAGTAGTCTACTAGGCTTCTATACTAACAATTAAAAGCTAAACCCATTTTTTTTCTGCTTATAGACTTGTTAGCACAGCTGCTAATGGAAGGCAAAACCTCACTCGTTTTCCCCCGAGAAGCGTCTGGTATTGCGAGGTTGTAGTGGCCATTGCTGAGATGTCTAAAACAAGAGCAACATTATACTTTCATTTCCACATAACCGATGATAAATTGGTCCTCGACTGGCGAATGAATCGACGCCAGCTGACTGTTACTGTTTGCCGCTTTGCACAACGCGTCGGCTTCCTCGTACGTCAATCCTCCTGTTTGAGTGACCACCTGAACGTAAACAAAAACATAAACACTCTTCTATATTTTGCTTTCACTAGCTGTAGTATAATTTCAAAAATTTCAAGATTTCCGCTAACTATTCCCCAAAAACTTTTCACTTCACACTATTGGGTCCAAAAATACTGTTTAATTGTCAAACTACCTTTTTATTTGTATCTTTTTATAACATTAAATGGCGTCTAATTTTAGAGAAGTCCATACCGCTTTGTTCCTTTGAATAAAGCATACCGTAAAAGCTGTGATAGTAGCCTCCTATAGGAGCGTCGTGTAGTCTAAGTTTACACTCAAAGAACCGCTCATATCTCGGCGCTCAGGCATTTGTTTCAAAGCATTTAGGTATCAAATTAAAGTAGAGAGGATGGATGATTTTTTGAGATATAACACATATTTTTAGCATTAACCAGTGCATAGAGAAAGATGATTGAAAAGTAGCAAAAAAGGCCGATTTTTCATCATTTTTCAATCATCTTTCTCTATGCACTGGGTAATGCTAAAAATATGTGTTATATCTCAAAAAATCACCCATCCTCTCTACTTTAATTTAATACCTAAGCGGGCTGAAACAAATGCCGGGCGCCGAGAGAGCGGTTATTTGAGTGTAAACTTAGACTACACGACGCTCCTATAGGAGGCTACTATTACAGCTTTTACGGTATATTATTATTCTTTCAATTTGTAACCGATTGAAATTTGTGAATTCGGATTCTTTAGCTTATTTTGATTATACACTTAACCTTTTATCTGCATTCAATTTTATTAGTCAATTTTACTGCCAAATAAAAATCATTCAAACCTTATAGCAGCTGCCATTCAAATATCTAGAGTAGAGCCAATCGGCTGGACAGTCCGCAGCGACCAGCGCGACAAGGAGGCCAACAAATAGAAGCAAACGGGTCATGATTTGTGTTTGGAAACCGTTCAGTTCATTTCTCTTATATGGCAGGCTGATTCAAAAGGTGAGCCATAGACGATAAGTAATTCAATTGAAAAGTCTCTTTTTAAATGCCTCCTTTTGATTCAATTCTCCCATTGAAACTTATCAAAAGAAGCAGTTATTTTTTGAATAGACTGTATATGACTAAAACAAAATTGGGCTATTGAATTTTGGATTAAGTGAATTTAAGTGAATTCTTGTACGGAGCTACGGAAATCAATTGGCAATAGAATATCGAATGAGTACGCATTGCTCGGTGTAATAGGCTGAAAATCTTTTCATTTCTTTTTGTACTTTCGTTTAAAATCAAATGTTTTTAGAGATTTTTTACGAAAAACACTTGTTTTTACTCTTGAGTTTGCTTGAAAGTGAACACTGATTGATTTAAAAGGATGGTAAAATGAATTTGCCATCCTTTTAAGGATGGTAAATGGTAAAACACATTCCACATTGCACATTACATTACATTATGCATCTACAACGGGGAAACTTTACAGTGCTACTTTACATAGAAGCAAACTATTATAGTTGAATCTTTCCTTTGCCCGTTGTCTTCTTATCAGATCTGCGATACTTCTTATCGAATCCGATCTTCATTGGAACCGATCTCCATTGAACACTCGAGATTGTGGTTCATCAGCGAAAGAAGAGAAAATTGAGGTGATTATGTTTGAGTGAGCTTTTTCTCTTGTGCAGCTTTTTCTCTATGCATTGTGCAATGTTTTAGATTTGATTGACGTTTAAAACAATAATAGTTTATTTATTCTTTGAAATAACCAATCGACAATGTACACATTTCAGCGCAAAATTCCGCCAGTCTCCGCTCGAATTTCTCACCACGCCGTTAATGACACTTTGCTCGGTTTCCTGAAAAATCAATCACAATTCAAAAATGTAGATGTACTTTGTGCTCGATTTGTTAACACACCAGAAAAATCTTACCCTTGAATGCTCAGCTCTTTCCGCAATCCAATCTTTCAAAGAAATCCACTCATTCACCTCCAAATAGATTGCCCAGTAATCGATTTTAATCTTTCCATGGTACCAATCCTAAAAAATTATTGTAAATAGATCTGTTATTTAAGCGTATAAGCTCTTTCAAATACCTCCAATTGCTTCATTACACCACTCTTTCGTTTGATAAAGTTAGAGCCGTGCTCGGAGAAGGTTGGTGGTAACTAAAATTGTATATTGGAGTTGATTTTTTTGAAAACAACTTGAGATCTCAATACAACAGTGACTAAATATGGTAAAGTTGTTTCAAAAGCTAACAATCAGGATTAGAGCTAACTTCTAGTTGACTTGGGTTGTCTAGAACTAGACCTAGCTGGCTTGGAGTTGTCCAGAGCTAGACCTGGCTGGCTTGGATTGTCTAGAGCTAGACCTGGCTGGCTTGGATTGTCTAGAGCTAGACCTAGCTGGCTTGGGTTGTCCAGAGCTAGATCTGGCTGGCTTGGGTTGTCCAGAGCTAGGCCTAGCTGGCTTGGGTTGTCTAGAGCTAGACCTAGCTGGCTTGGGTTGTCTAGAGCTAGACTTGGCTGGCTTGGGTTGTCTAGAGCTAGACCTGGCTGGCTTGGATTGTCTAGAGCTAGACCTAGCTGGCTTGGGTTGTCCAGAGCTAGATCTGGCTGGCTTGGGTTGTCCAGAGCTAGGCCTAGCTGGCTTGGATTGTCTAGAGCTAGACCTAGCTGGCTTGGGTTGTCCAGAGCTAGACCAGTCTGACAACAAGCTTGGTCAGGTAGGCATAATTGACAATAACCCAACTCTGACGTCTAGCCTGACCGGGGTAAAAGCGGTTTTGAAAGGACCTTGAGTAGTGTAAGCCATTAGTCAGATCTATTCATAAATTTCATGATCCACGTTAATCCTAGTGCACCAAAGTGTACACAGTCTAAAGTGTTTTGAGTCAAGTACAAAGATTTGTCTCTTGCTAAAAGAGCATTTGCTATACGGTAGCATTTGATTTCCCAAGTTTGATCAAAGTTTTATGAAGCTGTTTACCCGGAAACTTGACTCCGCGAATTCAAGCGTTGGTCTCGTTGGACCAAAAAAGGCGAGATCGTGAAGTTGAACCTTTTGAATATCGTGAAGCTAGAAGACCTTAAGTTTTTTAAATTTAGCTTTTCCTACCGTAATCTTTTCCATCAATTGCCCATAGATCTCTTGAACGGATTGATTTCTGTAGTGAACCTCGGAGGAGTCGATTTCAAGAGAGAGCTGTGGGGTGAAAGAGTGGAACAAGCTGTCTTATAGTCTTATAGTTCAGTATGCCAGATAGCTAGTGATTGCAATCAGCTAGCATTTTTTGATCTCTACTTTGTGCTTAAAATAGAAAATCCTTCTGGTACACTCAATTCTTTTTGTTTCTTTTTATTTGAGTAAAAAGAGAAATAGATAAAAAGAAGCTACTTAAATAAAACGATTTAGTATAATAAGAAAACAAGGAATTGAGTGCATAGGAAAGGATGCGTTTACACTCTAAACATCGCACAAAGTACACCGAAGAAAGAGAAAGGGGAGTTAGAAAACGGTTGAGAAGGGAACACTTGGCTTGACACAATTGGCTTAAAGGAGAAGGTTTCTCGCTAATAGTAAAGCCAAACTATCAGATGGTTATAGTAGTTAACAATAGTAGTTACCGTAAATACTGTAATTGGACCCCACCTCCCTCGTACAGTCGCGTAGTCGCAAAAGTTTTTTAGTATTTCATTTTTTTCAAAGCGCCTGTACTTTCAAAAAATGCGTCTTTGGTATCAAAAAATAGCCCTGAATTTCAGCTATTTTTTGAAACCAAAACGAGCATTGTAGCATAAACCAGTGTCGAGAAAAACTTGTTCAAAGCTAGACTACGCAACACTCCGCACCGTCATTATGGGAGTGGGGTACTATTACAGTATTTACGGTAGCGCCTACTAGAGGGGCGCTACTATTACGGTAACACAGCATATTCTTTTTCGAAACTTTTTAGAAAACGGTTGCTAAACTCCTCACCGTTGCCAGTTTTCATTCACCGTTTTCACTCCAAGGATCACGTTGCACAGTTTTAGAGACTAAACTTGAAAGGTAATATTTCGGAAACTTTCGAATTACCAAAACCATCGGTTTTCTCAAGGGATCGTTGCCCATTCTTGACAATAACTCATCAAAATCGATCTGTAATTTGAATCCGATGAATATTTGATTGAATAATCAGCTGAGAAGTAAATAAAACTATTCTATGTAAGGATTCTATGTAAATTTTTCTTTACTCACATTTTGTAGTTGAAGCCTGAGAATTGGATGCTTCAGATAGCTTTTGAGTCTGAGCGCCAGGCTTACGATGGGATTCTCAGAATAGATAAATGTTTGCTCAGTTTTCTGAAATTCATCTTAACACATTCGCGACGATCCGACTCATTGGAACCGTATTGGAACCTTTTAGATCAAAATAGGAACCGTATTGGAACCTTTTAGATCAAAATAGGAACCGTATTGGAACCTTTTAGATCAAAATAGGAACCGTATTGGAACCTTTTAGATCAAAATAGGAACCGTATTGGAACCTTTTAGATCAAAATAGGAACCGTATTGGATCAACGAATGACGGTGGTACTAATGACGATTTTTTTTGGTTTCAACTCAAGTTTTTAACGACTATTGTTATTTGTTTTTTAGAAAGTTCTCTAACTTTGCGTTAGAGAGTTTTCAAGATGAGATTCAGAGCTATCGAATGACTGTAATACAGTCCGTTTCATATTTCTTTATCCACCCCCCCAAAAAGAGGTTTTATGGAGAATGGGTGGAGATATCGAGCTATTTTCTTTTGCAATAGAAAGACCATATTGTAAAACCCTAAAAACACCGTTTTTGGGTTACTGGATTTTCTCAACATAAAAAAAACTAAGAAAGAAGATTCTGCGACCGTTTCACATTTCTTTATCCACCCTTAGGAACTTTGAAAATCAACGCTTATTTGATGTTACTATTCATTTTTTTGCTTTACTTAAATTTTTTTTAATATTTTGTAATCATTTGTCGTCATTTTAGGAAATGGGACGTTGGAAAGTGCTTTCTGATTACGAGAAGGGACAGATCGATGCCTACAAGATCGACGAGAAGGGACAGATCGATGCCTACAAGATCGACGAGAAGGGACAGATCGATGCCTACAAGATCGACGAGAAGGGACAGATCGATGCCTACAAGATCGACGAGAAGGGACAGATCGATGCCTACAAGATCGACGAGAAGGGACAGATCGATGCCTACAAGATCGACGAGAAGGGACAGATCGATGCCTACAAGATCGACGAGAAGGGACAGATCGATGCCTACAAGATCGACGAGAAGGGACAGATCGATGCCTACAAGATCGACGAGAAGGGACAGATCGATGCCTACAAGATCGACGAGAAGGGACAGATCGATGCCTACAAGATCGACGAGAAGGGACAGATCGATGCCTACAAGATCGACGAGAAGGGACAGATCGATGCCTACAAGATCGACGAGAAGGGACAGATCGATGCCTACAAGATCGACGAGAAGGGACAGATCGATGCCTACAAGATCGACGAGAAGGGACAGATCGATGCCTACAAGATCGACGAGAAGGGACAGATCGATGCCTACAAGATCGACGAGAAGGGACAGATCGATGCCTACAAGATCGACGAGAAGGGACAGATCGATGCCTACAAGATCGACGAGAAGGGACAGATCGATGCCTACAAGATCGACGAGAAGGGACAGATCGATGCCTACAAGATCGACGAGAAGGGACAGATCGATGCCTACAAGATCGACGAGAAGGGACAGATCGATGCCTACAAGATCGACGAGAAGGGACAGATCGATGCCTACAAGATCGACGAGAAGGGACAGATCGATGCCTACAAGATCGACGAGAAGGGACAGATCGATGCCTACAAGATCGACGAGAAGGGACAGATCGATGCCTACAAGATCGACGAGAAGGGACAGATCGATGCCTACAAGATCGACGAGAAGGGACAGATCGATGCCTACAAGATCGACGAGAAGGGACAGATCGATGCCTACAAGATCGACGAGAAGGGACAGATCGATGCCTACAAGATCGACGAGAAGGGACAGATCGATGCCTACAAGATCGACGAGAAGGGACAGATCGATGCCTACAAGATCGACGAGAAGGGACAGATCGATGCCTACAAGATCGACGAGAAGGGACAGATCGATGCCTACAAGATCGACGAGAAGGGACAGATCGATGCCTACAAGATCGACAAGAAGGGTATTCGAGAAATCGCAAGGCTGTTGGACCGCAATCACAATTGCATTCGACGTTATTTAAAGAACAAGAACGTGACCACTCCTAAAAAGAAGACTGGGCCCAAACCTCAGCTTACATCTCGAGCTAAGCGTCACATTGTGAATTCAATTCATGGAAAGTCATCCTACGACTAAGTTTATCTTGAATTTCATGAAGTCAATCTTAGGAAAGAAAGAAGGAGATGGATCTGGGTCAGTGAAAAGGGAATATCAAACGCCATTTCCTTTCCTCTTCTTTTCATCTTTTGCCTTGAATTAAGAATGAAAAATAGAAATTCTGCCAGAAAATATGAGTAAGTAAGCAAGTTTTAGCATAAACAGAATTGAAAAAAAAGCCTGAAATTAGTCTAAGATGAGGATTTTATTGGCTTAATACATTCAAGACAATACGGTTCACCGGTGGGTCGTACTAATAACGATTATTTTTAATGTGAACTCAAAGTTTAAACAATTTTTGTTCTTTATCTTGCAGAAATTTCTCGATAACTTTGTACTAGTTTTCAAGAGGAGATTCAGAGCTATTGAATGACTGTAATAGTTTAGTTTATCTTGAATTCTATCAGTCAAATAGTTAACGACTACGCGTCTGTACGCTACGTTGTTAAAAAGTTAAAAACACAAGCTCACCCGATTCTCGGTGAGTCGAACCTCTTCATAAAATTTCTCTCCATTAAAGTGACGAACTTCGCTCGCTTCTGATTCTATCTTAACAATAGTAGCTACCGTAAATGTAATAGATCTGTACTGTAATAGATCTGTACTGTAATAGATCAAATGCTTTAAATTAGAGTTCGGCAAACAAAACCAGAACCCAAACAGACCAAAACGAAAACCAAAGCCAAAACCAAAACACCAAAACACCAAAACAAACCAAAACTCAATTTGCATATAAATTAACATGTAAATTTAAAATTGTAAAATGCAAATTTGCCTTTCACTTTTCTCACTCCCCAAAATCTGGCGGCCGAAAAAGGACCAAAACACGACCTCGAAATTTCGAAACAAAAAATAGCCTATGGGATAGATTTTTGGATGCTGATTTCAAATCTGCAAACAGATTTTCGCTAGCTCCTCCCAGTCGCGAGATATTGCCGAGTTTTGGTTAGTTTTGGTTTTGGTTTTGGTTTCGGTTTGTTTTGGTTTTGGTTTTGTTATGGTTTTGGTTTTGTTATGGTTTTGGTTTTGGTAGTTTTGGTTTTGGTTAAGTTTTGTTTTCCGAAGTCTACTGTAAATACTACTAAAACTACTGTAATCTTAAAGATATTTTAACTAAGAATTCTGTATGAAAATAGCTAAAGAATAAGTCAAATCGAAAGATGCAAAAAGTAGATATCCGATTGGCAAGAAAGTTTGTAGAAAAAGTTTGCACGGTTCATAACATTTCTTGGTCTCATTTCTGTGCCCATGTAAGCTTGAATTTGCATTTAAAAAACGATAACAGCCTTTGTTCATAAGAGACCGTCGGAAAGTGTCAAATTACAAGCTGCCAATCATTTTTTGGATTTATTACTTTATAAGGTTAACTTTTTGACGGCGGAGAAGTTTCTCCCGTAGCGCAGTCGGCCTTCAGATTGTCTAAAGGCTCAGTCTCATAATCTGAAGGCCGTGAGTTCGAGTCTCACCGGGAGCAATCGATTTTAACTATTAGGTTGGCAAGAAAGTTCATAGAAAAAGTTTGCAAAGTGATTTCTCAAGAATCAAGCCATCAATTCTTCCCAGCTTTTGATAAACTTGAATATAATTCAAAAGATTTTGATGAAAAACATCAGAGTGGGCTTCAGGTAAAAAAAAAAATAAGAGATTTCTTTAGCTGAAGTGCCTTGGTCACTCAAAAAGTGACCAGCCTTTAGTCAAGTTTTTATTTGGTTAATGGATAGGTAGTGAATCTCATTCAAAACCTAAAATAAAGTACTTAAAACAGGGAAAATTTGCAAACAAGAGAAAATCTCTAATTTTAAGGGAAAGCTGCACTCATTTGTTTTTACGTGTAATTTCTTGGAGTCGGCTAAACGGCTAAACGGGGTAAATAATAAACGGCTTGTAAATAATAGAAGAAAATGTTCTTTGAATTGATGGAGCTTCTGAATTAAAAGGTATTCAGTCAGATGAATGGATTTTATTTAAGAATACTGTAACATATCTAACCTTCTTCTTTTTATTCAAATGAATCTGAATTGAGTGCCGTTTTCCCTTCTCTTTCACATGAATTTGGTAAAAATTCTGAAAATTGTTTGGAAATTTGATCAAAAATTGAAGTACCGTATTTGTTCGAATAGAAGACCGGGTAAAGAGTGTCATCGCGTACTCCTGCGTAGCAGCCCTTCTTTTCTGCATAAAAGCTTTCAATCAAGTGCTATAGAGCTGGAAAATGGCTTAAAAATGGCTCAAAAATCTGTATTTTGGTATTTTTGAGTCATTTTCCAGCCCTATAGCTTTTATGCAGAAAAGAAATTTTAAAAAGCGCTGCTACGCAGGAGTACGCGATGTACGCGATGATACTCTTTACCCGGTCTTCTATTCGAACAAATACGGTATTCGTTATCTTTTAGGGGGGTGGGACAAAAAGCGATCTTTTATTTGCGCACCCGACCCAAAAGCGCACCCCCAAAAGCGCACTGGACCCAAAAGCGCACCCGTCCAAAAGCGCACCCCCAAAAGCGCACTGGACCCAAAAGCGCACCCGTCCAAAAGCGCACCCCCAAAAGCGCACTGGACCCAAAAGCGCACCCGACCCAAAAGCGCACCCCCAAAAGCGCACTGGACCCAAAAGCGCACCTTTTCACTGTTGTTTTTTTGGCTTTTTGCAAATCAATACAAAACCAAAAATTCCAAATTTATTTCCCCATGATTATTAGACTAATATCTTTTGTTTCCGGTGCCAAAAATGAACTTCTAATTGTACTTTTGCTTCTTTATACCTTCAATAACAACCTAACCGTTTAACAGTAAAACATTTAGCAGTAAAACAACGACATAAAACAGACAAAAGTAACGATAACACAACTTAAACACATGGCAACATTATCGAGAAACAATATGAGGCAAGAGTTGAGATAAATGTTGAACATGAGACACATTATTTCTACCATTAAGTACAGCATGAAATCTAAGAGTCTGACGATGAACAACACGATTAATTTGAGGCTACAACTGACCAAACGAGAGATTTCGTCTATTGGCAAATTTTAGCCTGTTGATAGCATTTGACATTTCTTTAAAAAGCCGACAAAATTGATTCGCGAAAAGCAAAAAAACAACAGTGAAAAGGTGCGCTTTTGGGTCGGGTGCGCTTTTGGGTCGGGTGCGCTTTTGGACGAGTGCACTTTTGGGTCGCATGCGCTTTTGAAAAGGTGCGCTTTTGGGTCGGGTGCGCAAATAAAAGATCGCTTTTGTCCCACCCCCATCTTTTAGCTCAAAATTTACCTTATCTTCCCAAGTGATCGCAACTTTTTGAAATTTTCTCGAAAAGTGATGTTTCTTGTTGAATCGATGCAATGCTTTACAAGTTCTGCTGATCTAAAATCAAAAACAAATCAATAAAACTCGAAAAATAGCTTTATATTATAAAATTACAATAAAACTATAAAACTAAATACTTTTTCATGTAAAAACTTACTTTAACGCATGTTTTGTAATCGAAATCGACGAAAACTTTTAATAAAAGCTCTTCAGGTAAAGAAATTAACGGGATATTAATGCAATTATTCATCAAAAGAATAGAATAGAGAAGACGAATGAAAATAGAAAAGAATTGATAGCGTAAACAGATTGTTTACGACTACGAGCGATGACAAAATGACACCGGGAAAAGGCCGGGCAATGCTTCGATTTTAGAAGTTGATAGAATAAGAATGGAAATAGAAAAAGGTATTATAAAGTTCAGGTTCGCAATCTCTTTCGTGATTCGCTCTTTTCTGGTCTCCGGGTATTTTGATTGAGTTTACGATTATTTAAATCGAATCGATCTCCTCGAAAATTCCCGTTCGCAAATCAGAAATCGGAATTTCAGAAACAGAAATCGCAAATTCAAAGAAGTCACAAAGATACTCAAGAATCACCAGAGGACTCGGGCACACCTTTTCGACAGCACCGTCCTCCTGGTACTCTGCTAAGGGACAGAGACCTGGGCCACGACACAGACCACTGAACGAGCTCTGAGAACCACGCATCGAGCCCTCCTCGGCTACCTCCTCGGCTACCTTCCTGAAAGGAACCTCCTTGGGCACAATAGGAAAGCTTAACCAAGACCTATGAAGTACGGATATGCGCTCTCGGGACTCAGAGATCCAGTGGAAGTGATTGAGAGAAAAAGACTCAGATGGGCCGGGCCGGTCACGTAGCCAGAAGAACAGACGACAGATGGACGATACGGATCACAGTGGCTACCACGAGACCAGAAGAGGCCCATCGGAAGACCAGCAACGAGGTGGAGCAAGAGTGGCAGAGACGGCCAGAGAAAGGATGGCTAGAGTGCAACCACCACCAGCACAAGCAAGTCGAAGACTTCGAACCAGGAACAATCAAGATAGGAAACACTGGATGACAATAGCAAGGGATAGAGAAATGTGGAAGCAGGTTTTGAGCTGCGCAAAATAGGAACACCTGAATGCGAAGACAGATCAAAAAAAATGGCAAATCAGAAAGAAAAACAGCAACAAAAAGGAAATCTTAAAGCAAAAAATTGTCTGATCACTACGAAAATCAGTTTTGATGCCCGAAAAAGTGTTTTTCGTTTTTCACCTCTCAGCTTTAATGATATTGTAAAGTCTATTGGTGATATTTTTAGAAGGTTTTGAACAATCCTTGTTGAGCTCGCTGAGATAGCTGAGATATTGAGCTAGCTGAGATAGCTGAGATATAACTGTTGCAGTGCCGCAACGCTAAAAACACTCTAAAAATCCACAATATATTATCAAAAAGACGAAATTTACAAAGTTTAGATTAGAATCATGATTGCATAATCGTCACGTGGTTGGCAAGCCTCGTTTATGTTCAGAAAGATCTGGGGTTCAATTCCGTTTATGAAAAATGATGCTTCGAAGGTCCAAAGTTTGTAGGAACTAAAAAAAACGCAATATGGAACTGATTTTCAATAGCTTAAACATTTCGGAATATTTTTGACCTTTCTAACATTGTAACGATTGAAGTATCTGTTTCTATGATTCGAAAGTGAATATGCGTGAAATTGAGACTTTGAAATTTTCGAGAAAAAACAATAGAAGAGAATTGATGTTCACCGAGTGAGTCAAAAAAACAAAGAATGATTGTGATTGACATGGAAACTTCTCAAAATGCCACATTTCCATCAATTTACAATTAACTGGGAGGAAAATTTGCATATTGACGGGTGCAAAATGAAATCACTCTTTCATTTCACATTCTCCGGCTTCTCCGGCTTCGTTTTTCAGGTGATTTTATCAATTCCAGCATCTTATTTCTAAATTTTAGAACTTCTGCTCACAAAATTCAAATTCTTGTTAAAATTTTTGACATTGCTTTGTTTAGAATGGCACAACCGAATCGCGAGGAGCGTGGCAAGCTTTATCGAGGAAATTGGGTGAGTTGTTGTTGGTTATTGTTGGTTGTTGTTGGTTGTTGTTGTTGGTTGTTGTTGTAGCTTGTTGTAGCTTTATCGAGGAAATTGGGTGAGTTGTTGTTGGTTGTTGTTGTTAATTTAAATAGAAACATTGACTTTTGCGGTTAATTTTGCGAGTTGCGGTTAATTTTAATAGAAACATTGACTAAATGGTTGTTTTATGCGTAATATTCTGACCAAAAGGGTGAATTTATTCAATTTTAGAACTATTTAGCAAGCTAAAATTGTCAGAATTTCTTTTTGTCAGCATTTTCTTGAACTTTTTTCTTTTCAGGATGCATTGAATTTCGACCGACGTGCCCCCGAATTCTTCTGGGAGATTTTCTGCGCTCAATGCGACAAAGCAATTACAAGAGATTACATTATTGAGGTTAGCTTTTGGTTGTTTATCGTCAACAACTGGATTAGAAAAAGATAGTTCTTGGATCTGTGCTTGACTTTGAAAGTTTTTTTGAACCTTTTTGCATTAAAAGTTTACAAGTTTAATGATTGACGAGTCAAGTTAGCACAGTTAGCTTTTTCTAGCGCTTAAATCGTTTATAGTTCTTTCTAATCAGTTATGGAGTTCAAAACTATATGTTTCTGTTTCAGAATATGTTTCTCCCTCCGGCTTCTGGATTGATAAGTTTTGTAGAAGAAATAGATGTCTCGACTCCATTTGATCGCATCAGAGCACATCCACTTCTTCATCAAATGACCATACTTCAGAGAGACGCCAAGCCTTCGAAGAAGAACCACCTCTTCGAGAACCAAGTTGAAGAAGTCCCATCCACCGAAGGAGCCAACTTCAGCCAATCAGCGCATTGAGAAACACAGTGGAGACGAGGGACCGGAGGTGGGCAACCACGTGATTTGGTTCCTTATCTCTCTAAATTTGGTTGTGATTCAGAGAGACGCCAAGCCTTCGAAGAACCACATCGTTGAAGAAGTCCCATCCACCGAGGGAGCCAACGATCAGCGCATTGAGAAACACAGTGGAGGCGAAGGACCGGAAGTGGGCAGCCACGTGGTCGTACTTGGGCTCATTTGGTTCCTTTTCTCTCTAAATTTGGTTGTGATGAAGGTGGCCATACGGTTTATTATTTTGCAGAAAAATAATCGGCTTAATGAAATAAACCGTAGCTCATTTTGTGCATTTGATTTTAAACGAAAGTACAAAAAGAAATGAAAAGATTTTCAGCCTATTACACCGAGCAATGCGTACTCATTCGATATTCTATTGCCAATTGATTTCCGTAGCTCCGTACAAGAATTCACTTAAATTCACTTAATCCAAAATTCAATAGCCCAATTCTGTTTTAGTCATATACAGTCTATTCAAAAGAAAACTGCTTCTTTTGATAAGTTTCAATGGGAGAATTGAATCAAAAGGAGGCATTTAAAAAGAGACTTTTCAATTGAATTACTTATCGTCTATGGCTCACCTTTTGAATCAGCCTGCCATATAAGAGAAATGAACTGAACGGTTTCCAAACACAAATCATGACCCGTTTGCTTCTATTTGTTGGCCTCCTTGTCGCGCTGGTCGCTGCGGACTGTCCAGCCGATTGGCTCTACTCTAGATATTTGAATGGCAGCTGCTATAAGGTTTGAATGATTTTGATTTGGTAGTAAAATTGACTAATAAAATTGAATGCAGATAAAAGGTTAAGTGTATAATCAAACTAAGCTAAAGAATCCGAATTCACAGCATTCAATCGGTTACAAATTGAAAGAATAATAATATACCGTAAAAGCTGTAATAGTAGCCCCCTTATAGGAGCGTCGCGTAGTCGAAGTTTACACTCAAATAACCGCTCAGAACTTGGCGCCCAGACATTTGTTTCAGCCCGCTTAGGTATTAAATTAAAGTAGAGAGGATGGGTGATTTTTTGAGATATAACACATATTTTTAGCATTACCCAGTGCATAGAGAAAGATGATTGAAAAATGATGAAAAATCTGCCTTTTTTGCTACTTTTCAATCATCTTTCTCTATGCACTGGTTAAGGCTAAAAATATGTGTTATATCTCAAAAAATCATCCATCCTCTCTACTTTAATTTGATACCTAAACGCTTTGAAACAAATGCCTGAGCGCCGAGATATGAGCGGTTATTTGAGTGTAAACTTAGACTACACGACGCTCCTATAGGAGGCTACTATCACAGCTTTTACGGTATGCTTTATTCAAAGGAACAAAGCGGTATGGACTTCTCTAAAATTAGACGCCATTTAATGTTATAAAAAGATACAAATAAAAAGGTAGTTTGACAATTAAACAGTATTTTTGGACCCAATAGTCTGAAGTGAAAAGTTTTTGGGGAATAGTTAGCGGAAATCTTGAAATTTTTGAAATTACACTACAGCTAGTGAAATCAAAATATAGAAGAGTGTTTATGTTTTTGTTTACATTCAGGTGGTCACTCAAACAGGTGGATTGACGTACGAGGAAGCCGACGCGTTGTGCAAAGCGGCAAACAGTAACAGTCAGCTGGCATCGATTCATTCGCCAGTCGAGGACCAATTTATCATCGGTTATGTGGAAATGAAAGTATAATGTTGCTCTTGTTTTAGACATCTCAGCAATGGCCACTACAACCTCGCAATACCAGACGCTTCTCGGGGGGAAACGAGTGAGGTTTTGCCTTCCATTAGCAGCTGTGCTAACAAGTCTATAAGCAGAAAAAAAATGGGTTTAGCTTTTAATTGTTAGTATAGAAGACTAGTAGACTACTATAGAAGACTTATTGTAGAAGAGGGTTATTTTAGAAGACTAGTTAATATAATGAACTCCTATTCGTCTATTCACACGAGCTGATATTCACATAGATTCACAGGAACCATATTGGAACCATAACTTCTAGCATCCGAAATTTCTCAATTAAAGGTGGAAAACGGTTGGCAATGGTCTGATGGCACAGCCTTCGACTATACAAACTTTGCCGCCGATGGGAACACGGGAAGGCAATGTGTTCAAGTGAATGCTGTCGAATATGCACTTACATGAGTCTTAGGTCTCGTCCAGTACATCATCGAATCCAGAGTACGGACAATGGAGCGACGCCGACTGTAACACCAAATTCTTGAACGCCGTCTGCAAAGCTATGACTGCCCAGTCGCCGAAGAATCCAGCGACGAAGCCGGCCGAGTGCTCGCTGGGCTGGTACTACGATAGACGCTTCAACAGCTGCTACAAGGCATTTAGCTGAGCCAAAACTAAAAACGGAACTGCCCAAAATGTTATGTGCCATCCAGATAAGATAATTTGTTTAAAAATTAACTGAATATCTTTACTGGAATGAGGTGATCAGTCGAGAGACCGTTGTTGACTTCGATCTAGCAAATTATCTAGATTCCCCCAAAATTAAATCGATTCAAACCGAAATCTGGATGTCACACTACATTTTGGTCATCATATTTTAGTCGTCATGTGCACATTTAGAGGAATTATATTTTCAGGTCCGGCTATTCAATTAACTTCCAGGTGGTGACCCCAAATAGCAGTATTCTGGACTTCAACAGTGCAAACGAGGTCTGCCAGAACGCCAGCGCACAGCTAGCATCGATACACTCGGCAGAGGAGAATGAGCTGATTGTTGGTAGGTGGAATGGCGATAATGGGTGTCACAATGAAGTCCCAGATTTCTGAGCACTGATTTTGAACTAGAGGCTAACGTTGAAAGCTGGCATTGAAATCATCCCTCGGCTTTCTCATAGCAAGCCAGGAATGGCCAGGAATCAAAGAAAACCGGGAATAAAATCCGCCACCATCCTCTTATCGGGCGACTGCACAGATCACTGTACACCAGCAATGATCTGATTGCTCTGTCTCAACTTGAGACAGAGCTTGAAACAGACTTGAGACTCTCAAGTCTCAAGCTTTGCTAATGTAATGCATAACATCTAATTTCAGCTCTCGCCAGCGATCTTTCCCTTACGGTATCGGTCATTAGCTACCAAACTTTGCTTGGAGCACGACGAGTAAATCAAACACTTTTAAGAGTTGACTAAACTCAATTCAAGGTCGACAATACCTGGACATGGACTGATGGGACTCCGTTCGACTACAATAACATTCTCGCCGATGCCGATTATAATTATATACCGTGCCTTCAAGTAAGAAAAGATGCGCGAGAAACCATTTCCTATAAGATTCCAGGACATTAGAAACAAAAAATTAAAGAACAATTTGAGTTGCTAATATCTGGATATCTCCCTATTACGCCTTTCCATCATTTCTTCGTAAAAAAGTGAAAAGTGAATGGGATTCTAGGAGCCATCAGCCATCAGCTTATCGCATTGATCTTTTGAAACCTTTCCAATAGAACCACTAGTCAAAATCCTAGATGAGCTTTTTACCACTTTGAGATTCTATTAGAGGAAATGTGGCATTTGAATTCAAATTGTTGTCGATAAAGTTCTACGACAATGTTTTTATTATCTAAAGAACAAATTACAGTAAAATGAAAGCCCCTTTAGCTCTGGGCGACGAACACAACGTATTTTCCGCCGGGCAACTACAAGAAGTGGACTTACGCTTCGTGCTCTCTCAACTATTACAACTTTGTCTGCAAAATTGCACTGACCGATCCCGTGCCAGATTATAGCACAACCACCACCACCACTACGATGCCAACTATGCGTCCGATTGGACGATTGGAGAAGAATCGTATATAACAAGCTAAACAACTGTTTTCGTTTTCTATTTCTATCCTCTTTCTCAATCAGCTAATCCCACTGTCTAATAAAAATTAACTAGCAAAAAGATCTAAAAAACAAAACAAAATCAAAGTTTCTTTAAGATAAAACTTGTAAAAACCTAAGGATAACGTAAACTTATAAAATAAAAAACATAAAATTTTGATGGTTTTAAGCTAACAACGAAATGGTCCAAAGTTTAGGTGACCGTTTGGGATGAGTGATACCTCATTCGATAGATCTCATCATGAATATTGATGGCCAATAAAATTAGCTCCCTAAAGTAACTCTACAACAAGAAATGGGGCCGACAAGGAGCAAAAAAATGACGTTTTTTGACCCTCCTTCGTGAGCGTGTAACCCTTTACTGAATCAATATTTTTGAATAATCTTTTTTGCATGTAATAGAACTTGAATGAGACTAAAAGTAGTAGTAAACTAATTTCTCGAAGCAACGAAGCAACTTCCTTAAAAATGGCCTAACTTTTAGGGTCATTTGCTTCACCCATTACAGCGCTCTAAACACATTATTGTAGAGCTCAATAAAATGCTTCGAATAAAAATGCCTTCGAATAGGGTTTAGAATAATTTTCGAAATTCTGACTTTCATCTTCCATTTTCTGGTTATGCAATCTTCTTGCCAAAAGCCAGTCAATTGATAGTTCTGTTCTCCTTATTCACCAATAAATTCCGTGGTAATCTATGTACGGTTACAATAAATAGATTACCACGGAATGAATTATGTGGCTCATAAATTGTAATTGCTTTATTATGCTTACTTGCTTACATTTTATTATGCTTGAAATGAAATTCAAAAATTTATCATGCGATTTGTAATACCCGTAAGAATAAAGCACAAGCCGAATTGTTGCCGAAAGCACAAATTGTTAGTTCATCGTCGATACAATTCTCGCAGCGAATGTTCAACTTGGGAGAAATCTGAAAAGAAACTTTAATATAACTAAATAAAGAACATGGATTTTTATTTTAATAGAGTTTTAAGAAATTCTCTAGTCACAATTATTTACCACCAAAATTAACAAATCAAATAAAACCAAACCTTTCATTTCTTCCAGCGGCTCAACCATTTCGAGTTCTTTTTGCGCGTTTTCCGGATCCGAATTATGGGCAACATTTCTGACGTCCGAAATAGAAAAACGCTGTCGTAGAGTTAAATCTAAATTTTGGAATTCAATGAAATAAATTTAAATTTCTTTAATAGATTTATGAAACCAAAAATTGTCAACAAACCTTTTTCATGAGCCAACGGGAAGAGTTTACTCGATCCAAGGACAGCTCTCGCATCGCCGATCACTTTTAGAGCCACAACCGGTCCACTAAAATAAAAACAAAATAAAGCTATAAAAAGAAATTGGTTATTGGGTACCTTGAAATGTGTCTAACCAATCGGCCATAGTAGAAGCGTCCTCGGTGCATTTGGTAGAGGTTCTCGGCCTGGGATCGATCCAAACGAAGCGGTCGAATCGAGAGAATCCGCAGTCCCGACGAGAGCAATTCATCGAACACAATCTGAATAGATAAAAATTAGAAACAGAATTTGATATCCGTTTAAAAGTTACATCGAATTAATTTGGTAGAAGCTTCTAAAAACTCTAATCTCTAATCTCTAATCTCTACTCTACTCTACTCTACTCTACTCTACTCTAATCGCTTCGAAACTTTATTAAATATAAACAGTACCAGCGTTAATTTATAGCTTTTTTTTAAAAATAACCCCTTATTAAAATATAAAACAAAATAAGCAAACCCTGAGCAGAAAAGGATGCGAGACGACATCCGGCTTGAGGAGGAGCAGTGATGGAGCGGAGGACATCTGGAAAATAAACAAATTAATGAAGCCCGATAGTTAATTCAAAGAACAATAAATCATTAATTAACAAAACAAATTAACTTCTCGTAAAAGCTGTAATAGTACCCCCTTATAGGAGCGTCACGTAGCCTAAGTTTACACTCAAAGAACCGCTCATATCTCGGCGCCCAGACATTTGCTTCAAAGCGCTTAGGTATCAAATTAACGTAAAGAGGATGGGTGATTTTATGAGATACAACACATATTTTTGGCATTAACCAGTGCTTAGAACAAAATGATTGAAAAGTGGCAAAAAAGGTCGATTTTTCATCATTTTTCAATCATTTTGTTCTAAGCGCTGGTTAATGCTAAAAATATGTGTTATATCTTAAAAATCAACCATTCTCTCTACTTTAATTTGATACCTAAGAGCTTTGAAACAAATGCCTGGGCACCGAGATATGAGCGGTTTTTGGGGGGAAACTTAGACTACACGACGCTCCTATAAGGGGGCTACTATTACAGCTTTTACGGTAATTATTTTAAGTCTCACGTAAAAAGTTAAATTAAATGAGCGAGAGAAAAGTCGTTTGCGCTATTGGAAAAGTTCAAATGCAAACGTGGAAGTATGAATGCAAATTTTAAATAACTCAATGCAAACTTCACAAATTGTCGAGAAAAGTTTGATTTTACATGCTAAGTACCAACTTTAGAATTTCTTAGACTTATTTAAAGGGCAAATAAAGTGAAGTTTATTGTTCGGGAAAGCCACCGTAACCTGTTCAACTTTGTAGTTTACAATTAATGAGGGGAGCAGAAGAAAGGGGAATTAACTGCCCTCAGCAAATCGAGAGTTCTCTTTACAATTGATGGCACTTTCCCTACAACGGAGGGGGGTTTCCCCCTGCCCGTGCTAGCCCGTGATGCGCGATCGGGAAGTGACCTGCGTCACATCGTGTTTTTTTGAAAGGGGCCGGAAACCACGTGACACGCAGAGAACACACAGAAAAACAAATTTAATCAGTCTAAATAAGGTGCAGGGAAAAGAAATCCCCCCGTTATAGGAAAAGTACCCAATTCATTGAGACTTTGACCAACCTAAATGAAAATGAGTATTAAATTTAAAGATCAACCTCCAATTCGTCGATTCCCGCGTAAATATTGATTGAATTTGTGCAGAAGACGATCACCATTCCCATGAAAACGTAGTAGAACAAATTGATATCAAGAGAAGTTGTCATCTAAACCAAAATCTTCCTGATCATAAAACATTAAAACTTTACCTGAAATCCGTAAGGAGCAGTCTTCTGCACAAAAGTCGTCATCGAGCTGACGATTGCTTGGTTCAATCGAGAGAGTGAGACATGACTGTTCAACTAAGTCACCTTATTGAAGTTATAGAGGACCAACAAAGTTGTGACGCATGGTAACAAAAAGTAGATTGACAACCAATTGTACCAACATTCGATCGGATCTTTGAGGTGGTATAACTAAATAAATGGTCTTAAATGTCAAAATGGAAGTCACCATAACAAACTTGTAAAGTTATAACAAATTTGGATGTATGTGCAAAGCGAAACAAACAGTTACAAGTTATCAAAAGAAAACACAAACTCCATAAGCACGAATGGCATCATTCTCTTTGGCGATCCAGTAGTCATCAAGATCGGCAGCGCCGTGTTTCGATTTGGGCACAATTTCACGACGAGCTGGATCGATCCCAATCAACTTGTAGGTTCTTCCATCGTAGTGATAAGTCGATGCGTAAGCAAGAGTAGTCTTTGGATCAGGAGAGCAGTAGATGTCGCAGGCATAAACAAGCGTACCCCTTTTGCCTAACAGAAATACAAGTTAGATAAACTCAAATGTGACAAACCAAATCCAGTCCACCACTTCGAATAATTTCAGCAGCACGTGGATCTTTTGTTCCATGGAAAGCGGCTAGCCATTCATTTGTGGCCGAATTCTGGTCACCTAGGTAATTAAAATCAATATAAATCTTGGATCTTTTCGTGGATTTCCATTCAGCTTAACCACTACAATTAGCGCCTTTTGTATAGTAATATATACTTTATCCATCAAATAGTGATCCAATGAATGACACAGGAGAATAATTGAAAGTTAAGCTTGCAAAATACCAAAGTGCAAAAATTGTACAATCTCACAGATCAAAAAAGAGTTTCTACCTAACACGGAAAGACACAGATTCCATATGGACGAATGGCATCATTTTTCTTGATAATCCAGTAATCATCAAGGCCAGCAAGACCGTGTTGAGACTTGGGCACAATTTCACGATGAAATGGATCGACACGAGCCTGAAACAAAATTAATATTTCCAACAAATCAGTTACTTATTGACTATATTAAAGTCAGTAACAAATCCCACCTGTACAATCAACTTGTAGTTTTTTCCATTGTGTTCGTAAGGAGATGCATAATAGAGCGCAGTCTTTGGATCAGGAGTGCAGTAAATGCCATAACCAAAAGTAAAGCGATTTCCTTTCCCCTAGAAGAATATTTTGTAAAAATGGATCCACGATTACCCACTAATTATTCAAAAGCCAAAATAACAAACCAAATCAAGTCCACCACTACGAACAATTTCAGCAGCACGCGGATCCGTTGTTCCATGATAAGCAACTGGCCATTCGCCATCAATAGAGCCGTTCGCACTTTGGCTAAACCTGTAGTTAACAAAATAATACAAGAAAAATTACCGCCCAACGTATCCGAGCCAGGTATTGTCCCCATATTTGTCGAGAACATTGAGAGCATAACGCATTGACCCAAGTGGGCGAATGTAATGAGCTCCACCCCGAGAGAATGTTTGCTGATCAATCAAAATCTTCGTGAAATCGTAATGAAACTTTTCGGCAAAGAATCCCGGGTGCATTTTGTAAGCGCTGCATCTTCCTTCTCGACGTGTCGGAATCAAACGACGAGCAGCATCATGACAGCAAGCTTTTGTATCTTAAGGATAAAAAGTAAACACTTTGCTAGAAAATTGGCTGTAGAAACAAACTGGGTATTTAAGCAGCCCTAACTCAGACGTTTTAACTTTCGAATTGTTTTTATCAAAAAAAAAAGTTTGTGTAATTGAAAAACTGACCTTACCCTTTTCAACCGTTTTCTGGATCGTATTCACATTGAAAAAGAGGTCGCGTGGTTTGACAACCTTTTCAGAATCCCAATCGTGATCTGAACCGAAACCGAGATCTGAATCGAAAGTCCCATTGTTGAGAAGAGACATGTGCCAGTTAATACCAACAAGGAGAGCTTTATCTAAACAAAGAAATTTAGTCAACAAAACATGAAATAAATCCACCATTGATAAGAAGGGACGACATATTGAAACCAGTCACCGATTCCGAGAAGGTAGATCACTGAAAGAAAATCAGTTGAGATTTCTGTTCGATAGCATTCAAAGCATAAAAAAGAAGTCTGCTAACAATTCAAAGGGTCCATCAAGAATTTGGAATATAATTGTACAAATACCTTTTCCACACCACCTAAAAACTTTCTCAAACGCTTATTTGGATTGCCACCTCCGTAAATTCCAATTAGTTAAAGATTAATCGAACAATCATTAAACTATGAAACAACTATGAAACAATTGGATATGCTTCTCGATTTCGAGAAGTGAAGCTAACGAACAAGAAACAAATTATGCGAGCTGTAGTAGGACACAAACCGAGAAACGAATCTTAAAAAATACGATGCAAACGTCATCTAGGAGCTATTCATAACGTGCCAGCGTTGACATCGTAGTGTTGATAAGCAATCCGCGCGAATTTCTCCAGGATGGGACAAGGGGGTCGCTACTTTGCGCCAAATTTGTTGCGCAACTAGGTCCTTTTGCGCAACTCGCCACAACTGTCTTCTAAGCCAATCTTTATGATTTTGGTTGGTGTCATTTCGTTACGCTTGTTGAGATCTACAAAATGACACCAAAATCATAAAGATTGGCCCACTTAGAAGCGAGTTATGGCGAGTGGCGCAAAGTAGCCACCCCGTGAAATTGTCTATGGCAAGCTAAAAACGCTAGTGCAACACATAAATTTGAAAACATTGCTTCGGTATTTGGAGAATGAAATGACAAATGATTCGGACGAAAATTTCCTGTACAACTCAAAATATTCAATTGAACAATTGCTTCCCGATAAAAATTTGACCGGATTTATACTTGCAACTTCAACTGAATATTCGAAAAAGCTGTCTATTTAAAGAAGCCACGTTTTGGAAAACTTTCAAATTTCTTTTGTTGTGGATTTCACTGTGCAATGTGTCAGTTTCTAACTGTTAAAACCTTTTCAAATCTTTATTTTCTTTGAAATGTCGTCTTGGGTCGTCAAACGTCGAGCAAAAAAGAACTAGAAAAATTGAAGGTGAACCTACTTATCCAAAAAGGACTAGCAGAATTCAAGAGCATATGAAAAACTTACCTGGTGATTCACAGTGAAAGTGTTAGAATTTTTCGGCCATTCAGCGGTCTAAAAATGGTCTCTCAAAACATTTTTTTGAGGTCAAAAACCCTTTTTCTGGCATAATTTAACCTATTGATTACATTTCCGATTAAATTAGAGCAAAATAAAAGCAAAATGCTCGCCCACTCCGACACTGCCAAATTCCAAAAAAAACTTGATTCCTTCTTTGGAATTAATTAAAAAAAATTGTATTTGAAATTCACTAAAAACAGCAGCGGCTCTAGGCAGTGTCGGAGTGGGCGAGTATAAAGCAACTCAACGCAAAAAGAAAAAGTCCCCAAGTAAATCTTATTGATATATTTATTTAAAGGAGACTTCAAGCTTTTAAATAATGTATTGGGTTGGGGAGAATGAGTCGGCGCCGAAAATCAAAAAAATGTCTAAAACTTCTATTCGACTTCGTCAAATAATATGCGTTTGATATGAGTAGAATGGTTAACTAATTCTCTACAAAATGACATTTAAAAGAAAATTCAAACAGCGCCTCCGCTCAAGAAAAAGCCATTTTTTTCACAAAAACTACAAACTGTGATCTAGAAAAAACCATTGGTGGGATCTTCCTGCAAATTTGGGAACTTAAGTAATTGAATGTGCTCTATCTTTTTTATATAAACACCAAAGAAGGTTTATGTGAAAGAAACTGTTCAAATGATGAGTCGGACTCTTTGCCATTTTAACCAGCTGCGTTTCGAAGTTCATAAACTCCACGAAAGAAAAGCTTTGTGGAATCTCTCAAAAGTGATTTTGTAGAGAAATAGTGGATCCTTTTGATGAAACCAAACGTATGTTTAAAGAAGGCTTTATGTGTGCAAAAAAGTCCCTTTAAAGTTTGGCGCCGACTCATTCTCCCCAACCCAATATAAGAATTGGTACATTACGAGTGACAGAGTCTCAAAATATGGACATGAACAATGTGGATGATCTTTGTGTGCGTGGCTGCAGTCTCAATATTCAATCATCAAATGTGGCGGCGGAATATAATTTTACAACTACTTATCTCACGCCAACTAAAAACTTTCTCAAACACTTATTTAGATTGCCACCTCCGTAAATTCTAATTACTTAAAGATTAATCGAACAATCATTAAACCATGAAACAACTGATATTAGATACGCTCCTCGATTTCGAGAAGTGGAGCTAACGAACAAGAAACAAATTACGCGAGCTTTAGTAGGACACAAATCAAGAAACGAATGTTAAAAAAAACGATTCAAACGTCATCTAGGAGCTATTCAAAACGTGCCAGCGTTGACATCGTAGTGTTGCTAAGCAATCCGCGCGAATTTCTCTAGAATGACATAAGGAGCAAGTCAACTTCCACAACCGGCGGTGGTCTTGGTTTTTACAAGGTTTCCTGCAATTTATAGGCTTATCACTGTCCAAAGTGCGCTAGAACTATCTTAAAAAGCCAAGATTAACCCACTTAGAAGAAAGTTATGGCGAGTTGCGCCAAAAATTTGGCGCAAAGTAGCTACCCCGTGAAATTGCCTATGGCAAGCTAAAAACGCTAGTGCAAAATATAAATTTGAAAACATTGCTGATTTCGGAATTTGGAGAATGAAATGACAAATGATTCCCCTTCCGACGAAAATTTCCTGTACAACTCAAAATATTCAATTGAACAATTGCTTCCCGATAAAAAGTTGACCAAATTTATACTTGCAAAATCAACTGAATATTCGAAAAAGCTGTCTATTTAAAAAAAAGCCACGTTTTGGAAAACTTTCAAATTTCAAATTTCATCGGGCTCCATATAGTTCCATATGGTGAAGTACACTATAAAACACGACTATTTGCCAACAGAAAGCAAAAAAATAGGTAGATGATCAAGGCATTATTGCTTGTGTAATAAATGCGTTTTTAGATTCGAATTGCGCACGAAAATGTTAAATGTCAAGCATAGATGGGTGCCCCGTCAAAGAAGTTGTACGGCAGACAATAACAAGCAGTCCACCCGACGTAACGCGACTGCCCAATGTTTCCGGTGTGCGAAAAATGGTGAGGGGGCAGCGAGCAATGCCCGCCTCAAAAATGTAGCCAAGTCCGATCGATGATTAAATTATGCCAGAAGAAGTGTTTTTTGACTTCAAAAATGTTTTCAGAGACCATTTTTAGACCGCTGAATGGCCGGAAAATTCTAACACTTTCACCGTGAATCACCAGCTAAGTTTTTCATATGCTCTTCAATTCTGCTAGTCCTTTTTGGATAAGTAGGTTCACCTTCAATTTTTCTAGTTTTTTTTGTTCGACGTTTGACGAGCCAAGACGACATTTCAAAGAAAATAAAGATTTGAAAAGGTTTTAACAGTTAGAAACTGGCACATTGCACAGTGAAAACCAAAACAAAAAAAATTTGAAAATTTTCCAAAACGTGGCTTTTTTAAATAGACAGCTTTTTCGAATATTCAGTTGATTTTGCAAGTATAAATCCGGTCAAATTTTTATTGGGAAGTAATTGTTCAATTGAATATTTTGAGTTGTACAGGAAATTTTCGTCGGAAGGGAATCATTTGTCATTTCATTCTCCAAATTCCGAAAGCAGGAATGTTTTCAAATTTAAGTGTTGCATTAGCATTTTTGGCTAGCCTTAGACAATTTCATTGAAGCTTTCCATATAAAGTTCGACGGGCTATGGCTTTTTAAGATAGTTCTAGCGCACTTTGGACAGTGATAAGCCTATAAATTGCAGGAAACCTTGTAAAAACCAAGACCACCGCCGGTTGTGGAAGTTGACTTGCCCCTTGTGTCATTCTAGAGAAATTCGCGCGGATTCCTTAGCAACACTACGATGTCAACGCTGGCACGTTATGAATAGCTCCTAGATGACGTTTGAATCGTATTTTTTAACATTCGTTTCTTGATTTGTGTCCTACTACAGCTCGCATAATTTGTTTCTTATTCGTTAGCTCCACTTCTCGAAATCAAGGAGCGTATCCAATATCAGTTGTTTCATGGTTTAATGATTGTTCGATTAATCTTTAAATAATTGGAATTTACGGAGGTGGCAATCCAAATAAGTGTTTGAGAAAGTTTTTAGTTGGTGTTAGATAAGTAGTTGTAAAATTATATTCTTAATATATCCTTTGAATTATTGGTAGACTTGCTTTTTATGCTTTGAAAGCTATCGAACAGAAATTTCAACTAATTTTCTTTCAGTGATCTACCTTCTCGGAATCGGTGACTGGTTTCAATATGGCGTCCCTTTCTATCGATGGTAAACTTATTTCATGTTTTGTTATTGACTAAATTTCTTTGTTTAGACCAAGCTCTCCTTGCTGGCATCAACTGTCACATGCGTCACCTCATCAATGGGACTTTCGTTTCAGACCTCGGTTCCGATCCGGCTTTGTATTCGTGTTCGGGTTCTGATTCCGATTCAGAATCTGAAAAGGCTGTCGAACCACGCGACCTGTTGTTCAATGTGAATACGATCCAGAAAACGGTTGAAAAGGGTAAGGTCAATTTTTCAAGTACACAACCTTTTTTTTGATAAAAACAATTCGAAGTCTAAAACGTCTGAGTTAGGGCTGTTTAAATACCCAGTTTGTTTGTACAGTCAATGTTCTGGCAGTGTTTACTTTTTATCCTTAAGATGTGAAAGTTCGCTTTCGTGGTGCTGCTCGTCGTTTGATGCCGGGACGTCGGCAAGGAAGATGCATCGCTTACAAAATGCACCCAGGATTCTTCGCCGAAAAGTTCAATCGCGATTTCACGAAGATTTTGACCGATGAGCAACCATTCTCTCGTGGTGGAGCTCATTACATTCGCCCACTTGGGTCAATGCGTTATGCGCTCGATGTTCTTAACAAATATGGGGACAATGCCTGGCTCGGAGACTTCGGAGGAGAGCGGTAATTTTCTT